TCTTCTCTTCTCTTCTCTTCTCTTCTCTTCTCTTCTCTTCTCTTCTCAAACAAATTCACTCGAGACTCTGGTTTCCTCATTATGCTGACAGTACTGGTCTCTAATGATGTTAACCAACCTTTTTCTGTCATCCCATCCTGATGCACACATTCAGTGATTTACTGAAATACAATCACACATACAATTATACATTGACATATCTGAGGCACACACAGAGCATGCAAAGTATAGCAGGCATGGGGATTTATTACATTAGGCTAAAGGAGTCTGATCATGAAGCACGTTAGCTCATCTTCTCACTAATATGACTCTCATTTGCATCAATACATACTTGACCCATGCCCCCTGCCTATTGTACCTAACAACCTCTCCCATCCTCTCTCTACTAACTACTCCCTTCTGACCTGTCCTGACTATGCAAAAAAAACCAACAAAAAACAGTGCTGTTATCCTGTCATTTAGTTCCTGAAATACACAGAGAAATGTACAAAATTACAAGTAAACATAGATATGAACAGAGACACTTGTATTTGTTGCCATACAAATTGATAGATTGCAAGCATTAGGATGCATGGCTCCATCTGTGGTGCATAAATTATCTTTTTATGGAAGGAGATGTAGTTGGTTTATATTCAGCATCATTGCATGCAAATGAGAAGACTGAAAACTATAAACATCCGTTTTGTCAAATTAATGCATTAACTCAAATGCAATGTTTATTCAACAAGCTATTCATTTCTGCCACTTATCTGAGACTGAGTCACTGGGCCCTACAGTCTGAAAAGACATCTACACAATGCCAAATATTTTGTACTTAAATAATATGAAGCCATTACTTTTTTTTTTAACCATTAAAATATGCTGTTTTCTTACAATCCTTTTGATTTTTATTAAATATAAGTTTTATATAGGATATTTATTTACCTTTGTGTGATGGCTCCAAACTTGAGTCATTGATTTCATTTCTTTATGAATTTTGTTGGAGATAATTGATTGCATGTTAAAAGTTTTGGCATATTTCTCACCACTATCACTTTTCTTAGAATGGTTGCAACTGCAGCTTCATTTACAGTAGACCGTAACACTCAGTGTATCAAAGTTCGTTGCACTTGATCTTCTGTGCTAGCTCGTATATTTAGTTTTCTTGCAAACACTTGAAGAAACCAAAACGTACCAACAAGTGAAGTTTATTAGTTTTTGCTGTCTGTAATCTTTGAGCATGCAAAGATTAACACACGTCTTGGTTGGCATATTGTTTGCAGGTGTCAGCAGTGGAGTCTTTAGAAGGCCCCTTGCTACAGGTTGAAGGGCTTGGAGACTTGCGCCTGGAGCTCAAAAACAAAAAGCTTTACTTGCCCACAGTGCTCATTGATGAACTGCACCGACACCTTTATATCAAGTCCACAAGCCGCCTTGGACACAAGAACAAGGACAAAAACGCAGCTCGCGTTCCAGGGTAAGCACTGAATTATTTATTTACAGTGCCTTGCAAAAGTATTCGGCCTCTTTGAACTTTTCAACCTTTTGCCACATTTCAGGCTTAAAACATAAAGTTATAAAATTTTATTTTTTTGTGCAGAATCAACAACAAGTGGGACACAATCGTGAAGTGGAATGAAATTTATTGGATGTGCCAAACTTTTTTAACAAATAAAAAACTGAAAAGTGGGGTGTGCAATATTATTCGGCCCCTTTACTTTCAGTGCGGCAAATGACTGATGATGATAAATAGAATCCACCTGTGTGTAATCAAGTCTCCGTATAAATGCACCTGCTCTGTGATAGTCTCAGGGTTCTGTTCAAAGTGCAGAGAGCATCATGAAGACCAAGGAACACACCAGGCAGGTCCGAGATACTGTTGTGGAGAAGTTTAAAGCCGGATTTGGATACAAAAAGATTTCCCAAGCTTTAAACATCCCAAGGAGCACTGTGCAAGCAATCATATTGAAATAGAAGGAGTATCAGACCACCGCAAATCTACCAAGACCCGGCCGTCCCTCTAAACTTTCATTTCGAACAAGGAGAAGACTGATCAGAGATGCAGCCAAGAGGCCCATGATCACTCTGGATGAACTGCAGAGATCTACAGCTGAGGTGGGAGAGTCTGTCCATAGGACAACAATCAGTCATACACTGCACAAATCTGGCCTTTATGGAAGAGTGGCAAGAAGAAAGCCATTTCTCAAAGGTATCCATAAAAAGTGTTGTTTAAAGTTTGCCACAAGCACCTGGGAGACACACCAAACATGTGGAAGAAGGTGCTCTGGTCACATGAAACCAAAATCGAACTATTTGGCCACAATTCAAAACGATATGTTTGGCGTAAAAGCAACACAGCTCATCACCCTGAACACACCATCCCCACTGTCAAACATGGTGGTGGCAGCATCATGGTTTGGGCCTGCTTTTCGTCAGCAGGGACAGGGAAGATGGTCAGAATTGATGGGAAGATGGATGGGGCCAAATATAGGACCATTCTGGAAGAAAACCTGTTTGAGTCTGAAAGAGACCTGAGACTGGGACGGAGATTTATCTTCCAACAAGACAATGATCCAGAACATAAAGCCAAATCTACAATGGAATGGTTCACAAATAAATGTATCCAGGTGTTGGAATGGCCAAGTCAAAGTCCATACCTGAATCCAATCGAGAATCTGTGGAAAGAGCTGAAGACTGCTGTTCACAAACGCTCTCCATCCAGCCTCACTGAGCTCGAGCTGTTTTGCAAGAAAGAATGGGCAAGAATTTCAGTCTCTCCATGTGCAAAACTGATAGAAACATACCCCAAGAGACTTGCAGCTGGAACTGCAGCAAAAGGCGGCGCTACAAAGTATTAACGCAAGGGGGCCGAATAATATTGCACGCCACACTTTTCAGTTTTTGTTAAAACAGTTTGACACATGCTGATTTCAGTAAAACCATAGTTGTGTTTGTACAAGTCTGTGCAAACAACTATATCAAAACAATTTTTGTCATAAATTTTGTTTTTAACACACGCAGTCTGAAAAGTATGGTATTAACATTTCAAACTTCATCAGATTTTTTTCAAACATCAGAAATCCCTTGGCTGTAGTAGTAGTAGCTTGTCAATTATTTGCTGAAGGAAAATCAAGATCTTAACTGTGGAAAACAAAACACCTTCTGTAAAATGTTGCTTTTCATGTTTATGCAGTGAAGCGTCACATGAATTAGATGAAAAGCATATAAAATTAATTATTGTTAGGTGCAAACTGCAGTAATTTACTTTAAACTAATTAGTTGGGATGCAATTAAAGTTTTGATAACGTTTGCTCTGAAAATATTTTTAAGGTGCATGTTGTATAATTTCATATTTTAAGCATGTTTGTTTTACTGTCAGAAAGAAAAACCTTCACTTTTTCTGTCTGACATCAGTAGGGGTTTAAATGACTTCAAATGTTGGACAGCGAAGTTTAACTGTGACCTGAGTGCCCATTTCTTCATTTTATAAAGTATTAGCAATAATGCAGTCACACGCTTTGAACACACATTTGCTGTTTTAGTGTTCTTTGGACAGCATTCATTGAGTTTGTTGTTAGCTCCTTTACATGTGCGTGTGTCTGTGCTGGTGCCGTAATTATGGTGGCAGTGGCTTGGTAAAGCACAGTGATTTATTAATAAGGGTCAACTCCTGACAGGTCCTGGCCTTCCTGTATTCGTTTGCCTTTAACAACATGCCTGCCTCCATGCAACCCACTCACTTAGCAGGCACACTGTGTTTATGCCGCCTAACTTAAAGGGCCTGGATTGCTTCCACCTTGAGCTTGATAAATGGCTCATTGGAAAGCAGCACCATTCTCACAAAACAGATAGAGGGTGATTTGTTCTTACAGCAGATTGTTGTTTTTGTTTTGCAAGTGCATATCTATGTTTGCATTTGTGTTAAGATAGGAAACTGGTGTCTACTTGCAAAAGCTGTTACTCCAGGATTGCTTTCTATTAATATGTGTGACAAAAAGTAGAATAATTAATTACTTTACCTAATCTTATTAAACATTTTTATTTAATTCTTCAGGTCCCTGACTAAAGATACGTCTCCATTGCCAGCGTTGGAAGTGAGCAGCCTTTCAACTCCACGCAAGCTTTTGGATTCCTCACAGTTTAGCACACCGGGATCCAGCAGTGGTAAAACACACACAAATCAGGAAAGGGGGAAGGTGTACTGAAGGAAAAATATATTGCTTGTATAAATGACACAAGGAAGAGAGAAAATTCCTAGCTCTTCAAGGTTCATCAATACTATACATCATTTACTTGTCCATTAAAGCTGCTCCCATTAAAATATGTGGGGTTATACATTAACAAGTTATGTTAGTTTCAGTTTTAAAATATTGCTTTTGCATTTTAGCCTGCACTTGTTTTTTCAGTGTTCTCATTCTCATCGATATGAAGTAATTACCATCACCCTAATTTATATCTGTTTGCACAACGTTATACTTTATACAATCTTTCTTGCACACCATAGGCGTCGCAACCATTATATGTGAAGGGGACAATTCCCCCCACATTAAAAAAACGTGCATTTGGACCCCCCCCCCCCACTTTTACTATGAAACATTAGTTCAGGCGGCGCAGTTTCTCTTTCTTCATGAACAAATCCATTCCACTTGATTAATAGGAGAATACTCAAGCCACTAAAACTCCACTCCAGGTTTTCCTGGTTACCTCCACCTCTACACACAGAGCAGAAACTGTTCAGACAGCAGGTGCTGAGTCTCCTGCTTCGGCAGAAAATGCGCACAGGTGGAGGAGATGGAGACACCTCTGTGTTGCTCGCTCGCCAGTTTAGCGAGTTTAGTGCGTGCAGTTGCTGACCAGGGGGGTTGATCATAAACATATATTCATGTTAGGAGGATGCTCGAGAGGAGCGCTACGTCTGTAGCATCTTAGCTTAGCAGTAACTGTGACGCTGCAGGTGTAAGAGACGCTGTGTGTTCAGGTGCATTAAAGTTGAAATATCTTTAAAACCTCGCACCTTATTGTCCTCAAGCTTCATGAGAAACATCATTTAGATGAGTCGTGTTGAACACAAGTAAAAAAAGACCAGTGGTGATGTTTTTTTATTTCTCTATAAACACAAATAGTGCCGATCTGACGCTCTGTATTAAAGTGTATTTAAAACTCTGACGCTCTGTATTAAAGTGTATTTAAAACTCACAGCTGAATTTACACAAACTTGGTGAGAAACATGCTTTAAATGTGTGGAATTAAAGGAAATCTTGGCGAAATGTTGCTCTTTTTTTGTACATTAGTGTACACTTCTTTGCGCGCATGTGCGCACACACACCTATACATCCCCCCCACATTACGGATGCTTCTGACGCCCTTGTTGCACCCGCACAAGTTATTACCAATAAAAACTGCTGATCCAGACTGATAAAAAGACTAAACTCATCTTACGTGAAATTCATCGCATAGACACAAAGCGTGCACACCGGCAAACACCCACTTTTCCTCCCTTGCTGTAGATGTCATAACATCTTCAACTATGATCATAATATCCATCTTCTTCGCTTGCATTATAATCATCATGCCCCCTACGTGTACCCATTAGTCATCCAGTGTCTCTGCATTTGCAGCAGGGGCGCTGCATTTATTATGCTCAGACTGGTAACCAGAACTTTAACAGAGGCTGATAAAACAAACCTTAACTGTGTTCAGAAATGTATGAATTCTCTCTTGGTTGTAGGGGCGTAGAGTCAGCGCTACTTTTCTTGCAGGCAGAGCACAGAACACAAACAAGAAGATAATGAAAAAAGTTAATCCAGCAATAACTTGGCATTCCCTCGATGTTACAGAGTTTTTATATAAAGCTCGATACTTTTTCCACCACCCACTCTTGGCATTCAAAGTGAACTACTCACCAGTTTTAGATCTGTGGATTGCAGATGGCTATACATACCTCTTAGATTTTGGCAAAGTTTTCTTCAAGCAGTAAACATTTTTGTGCCATATTTCGTCTATTATTTATTACTGATATTCGTAGTGCTTTCATTGTTTATATATTTTCTTTCCTCTGTTGATTTAACTTCACATGTGTACCTTTAACAAGTTGTATGTTCCATCACGACTGAATCGTACTCATTATTTTTTACTCCAGCTCATTAGCATACATGCACATGTTATGACATCTAATGTTAAGTTTTTGTTCGGTTCTCCCCTGTTTTCATACTTAAAGTAAAGGCTCAACCACAGTTTTCTTATATCACACAGAAAACTGGTAATTAGCCACCTCCAGGCAGTGAGTGCCTGTATACCATAGTGTTAACAACTGTGGTCACGACACAGCGACCAGCTTCCATCAGAGCCCTTGCTTTCCATTTTGTTTAATAGCATTAGAGCACCTCATTTGTAGATCGTAATTGTCATAATTATTACACAAACTGCAGTTGGAATGGGTGAAAAGAGGAAATGCACCCAAAGTCCATTAACTTGCCATAAACATTAACTCTCCTAACGTGCTTTGATGGGGAATTGGGAGGCCCCATCTAATGGAAATTAGAGCATCACTCGATACTGCCATTCTCAATTTAGCTGCTAATGTGGCTAAGTCAGCTGCCGAGAGCTTGGGGGTGGGTTGGGGGTGCAGGTGTGTGGGCATAAAAGGATATTAATACACAGAAGGCTATTCATTATTTTTTTACAACAATGTGTTAGATTGTTAAAAAAGAAAGATGAAATAAATAGTGAAAAGGAACGATCACAACAATTTTAGGTTTCTTTTGTTTGTATTTGCAATTAAAATGAGGATTTTTTTTTGGTAATAAACTGTCATAGACACTTGTGCTTGATTTTTTTTTTTTTTTTTAGTGCGTGAGCTGCAACAGGATATTCGAGATCTGAGCCATGCAGATCTTTCAGAGGTGGATCCAGAAGAAAACAGTGCTGAATTTATGGGCATCCTTATCACGGTGCACGTCTTACTAATATACTTCACTAGCTAAAACAACCTCATTATTTCTATTTGGTTATAATTCTGTGAGACTTTGGCTTTAATGAATGTCTTAATTGTAGGTTTTTTTTTTCAGGCTCTAGCCAAACTGAAGAAACTCCCTGGAACAATCAAAGCCATAATGGACCGACTGGAGCCCGAGCTGAAACAGATCGTCAAGAGATCTACCACTCAGATTGCAGACCATGCTTACCAGAGGGGAGAAAACCTGGCCCAGGAAAGCCAGCCAAGGTGCTGAAAAGCAGACACACACAACACTTAAATATGATTAGCTTTGTGGGAGAAAAGAGCTTTTTAAAAAGGAAGATAAAAAAAATTAAACTAGAGGTTAATACTTAAAAGTATAGTGCAGTCATTAGATATCTGTGAAGAGCAGTTAAATTAAAGGATGAAAGCCACCATTAAAAATGAATTAAAATGTTATCATGATAGGAATGAGTTTGCAATATAAAAAAGGCAATGTTAGTAACAGCAGTATACAGTTATTAGTATTATCATTAAAAAATACCTTAATAAAGCTGCCCTTGTATTTCCATCAGTTTTATTTTGATGCCTGTCAGATTCCTTTGTACTTAAGGTATTCCCATTAGGCTCAGTTTCTCGGTATTGGTGAGTAAAAAGTGGTCATTCTTTTTATTGATTCGTACTGAAAATGACTTTCTCCCTGTAGATTATTACCAAAACACTAGAGTTGATTATTGTATCAATAATACTATGCTGACTGCAGTGGGTTTAGTAGCTATATGAACAGCTTTCTGTAGAGGCTGCCGACAACTTGTTTTAAATTCAGTCCCCCAGCAGTCATAGTCTGACAGTCAACCAAATGTAAAACACAACAAAGGCTCGTGCAGGAGACACACCTGCCTCAGACCATGAAAACAGATCCTCTGCTGCTTTAAACAAAGACATGTCATGGTTAAACACACCCATAGACACACAATTTCTCACCTGCCGTATCGGACCATCACGTTTTAAAAGCACTCACGTTAGCTTCTGCAGACGTACACATGCAGTCTGCAGTCCTGAGAAGCACAGGTCTCAGTCCACTGATCCTGAACCATTTAAGAGGAATTTCTTGTTTTCTGTCAGAGATGTTTTTCCCCCCCCCAGCCTTGTCTGCATTGTTTCTCCCTTTGCCTGCTGAATTTCATCTGACCTCAGTGTAATAGGCCACCATGTAGCTCATTTTGGGTTCTACTCCTTACTGATTGTTTTGAATTTGCCTGCATGTGTTTGTGTGTGAGCATGTAACACTTTGTGTGTGTTCGTATTTGGATGCATACACCGCTTGTTTTCCCTATGTTCACTTCAATTTAAAGTCAGTGCTTGTTGCTATGGAAACTCCCATTGGATGTACCACTTGTAGGGAACAATGGTCTTGAATATTGCACTCTATATTTTATAGCACTGCAGACCAGAAGGCAACACTTAAACTCTTTATAGCTTAAACAGCAGTGTGTAGCCTGGCCTTACAGGTTTATGTTCCCAATCACCTCCTTAGTGATCAAACTTCTACATTCTTCTCTCACAAATATACTTCATACAGCATTCCACACACTCAAGGCGTTATTAGCATGCTTCACTGATAATGAATAGCTCAATTTCATATGCACTGCATATGATTTAATGGCATTTTCTCCTGCTGTATTGCAGAAACAGCAATCTTTTAATAGAGGCCATCAAATCTAAGTCAAATGACTGCCTATTTAAAGTGAGGACATTTCTGAAAAAGCAAACAGTTTAGTAGACAGAATGCAACATATATTTCTGTCCATCCTTTAAAAGGTGATTTCTTTTGTATTTTTTTATTTTAATGGTTAAACAATCATTTTCAACACTGAAGATAATTAGCCTCCAACAGCAAAGTAATTATCGTAAACATTTTCTGCTCTGTGTTTTTGTGTTCAGTATTTCTGTATCAATTTTTGTGTGGCAGCATCGCAACCTGGCACATTTAATATTTCAAACGCATTCACTCAGCACATCGCGCACTTGTTTACAGTCATTTAATGATCTTTGACTGACGAGCAGCCTAATGGTAATCTAATTTTGATGCTGCTGTTGTCCTTCTAAAATGAACCATGCACACTCCTACTGCCGGCCAGTTAGTTAGAAGCAGTATGCTCCCTGCTATTTCTCATGAGCCATTTGTATCTGCTTCGATCCCGAGGGGAAATGAGATGTGAGGTCTCAAAGAACAGAAGATATGGATTAGGATGGCCTCCACTGGGAGATAATGTGGAAGACTGGTCTGTCTCTAGGTGCAAGTGTTAGTGATAAAGTTCGTCTGAACTTCACTTATACGGATAACTATATGATGTTTGTACTTTTCTGATAGTTAATGATTTTTAATACTATATAGATGGTGTGTATCCTTTTTCCTGGTGCTACTTCAAAACTAATATAGTATATGTTTATCCATAAATTGGACATTGATTTATAGATCACAGATTCAATCTTTCTTTTTATTTATATATACTTTTTACTTGACACTGAGTGTAGTGATTGACAGCCAACAAAAAATGAGTTCTGGCTAAACATTCATACTTCTTTATACGTTCCCTAGAAACTTGGCTTCATCCCTTCATTTAGGGCTGTGTCTCTTGAACTATGATACGAGTACAACTGGTGGTACTCAGAATCATTTTAGTTGTACTCAGAAGAAATATTGGCATCAAATATTTACAAGTTAAAAAACAAGCTAATTAAGTTGGTTTATGTTAGTGTTGGCATTTCAAGTAGACTGGTCAGTTTATTTTCTGTCAAATACTTAAATCTGTTTGAAAAAGTTTCAGTACAAGTTTAAAAAATACAAGCTTAGGCTTTCTTACCCTTTCGTAATGGTGGTACTTGGAAAGCCCAATATTTATGGAAGTGGTGCACATTTTGAAAAGTGAGAATTGCTGACTCAGAGCATGTTTTGTCTGAAATGCTTTTCAGTTTACATTTTGTAGATAGCTTGGCTTTGGAGTCAAATGCACTTTTGGTTTGGATTTCTTTTTTTAAAATGAATTAATCGTACTCTGTATTCCTCTAAGGCAGGGGTGCCCAAACTTTTTCGCTGAAAGGGCCAAATTTAAAATCTATCAGAAGGCCACGGGCCAAATGCAACACGAAATGCAAATAATTATTTAATTAATGTCCATTTATTTATTATACAGTTATTTAACCTTCCATTCTGTATAAAGAACATTACAGAACAGGCCCTCCCAATGAATTTTGAATAAATGAGATGACATTTCCTGCATTTTGGCATATTTTACAAAAGTTTATTACAGTAGATTAACGTGAAACAAAATATGGGAACTCGGTTATTATTGAAATCTCTGACTGCAAAGCGTTCTTAATGCTGAGTTAAAATTTACGGGTGCTCAAGAAGGGTGTGTGATGGGCACCTCCATGATGCTCAGCTTTGCCAAAGGAAATATTCAGCAGCAAGAAACTGCCGAGAGACAGTATGAAGTCTGTCAAAATAAAATATAAATTATTAACATCTAAAAAATTAATACACAAATTAGTCACTCCAGCTGTGTAGTGTCATTACAGTAGTCATTGGGCCAACTTTCCATCTATCATTAAACTTGGAATGACTGAGTGTAAACACATTGATTCTTCAAAGGAAATTTTAATATAGTAATGAAGACAGCTTGGCGGACCAAACCAAATGGCTTGGCGGGCCAACTTTGGCCCGCGGGCCCCACTTTGGGCACCTCTGCTCTAAGGGAAAGTTTTCATGTACAATTAAATGTTTACATGTACCGGTAAATCAAACGGGTATGGAAAAAGGTGATATCTGATTTAGGTGCTCATTCATCTGTCACACACAGTGGGGATTGAATAGTAGGAAAGCACAGAGACTCTGATAATGGTAAAATACAATTTATAAAGGTTGGTAAAACAGCTCAGAATACAAGACAAGTTGTGAAAAGATGCCTTTGAGACAGCAAATAGATGCAGGGTGTGAGGATGGTAGCAAAGGACATACACACTAAAAGTCTCATCCAAATAGCTAGGCGAGGCTTAAGTGGTAACTGTGCCAAGTGTGGGTTAGAAGTCCCCATTTCCCAATGAATTAGTCCACTCATAGTAGTTGAAAACAACACATATAAGATGCTATAAGACTGCAAGTTTCAGCAGCTGCATAATACATAGAAATAAATAATGGAGGTTTACAAGGAGCAGAAGAGGGCAGTATAGTAAATGTAGCAATCAGGGCTAACATTAAGGTCCGAGAAAAAAGTGCATCTGAAAACTGAATGGTAACAGTTAGGGAAGATAACTGGAGGAGATGTGAAAGGTGAACTTGAAGTAGTCTCAGATGTAAAAGGAACATTTTGAGGTTAATGTTTTTAAGCAGATTTCCAGTTAAAATATTTGAGGTCTTTTAAAGGAGAAAAGCAGTCCACAGAACATCCATCCATCCATTATCTTTTACTCGCTTCTTCCATGTTGGGTCACGAGGGTCGCCGGTGCCCATGTCCAGCAGTCACTGTGCGAGGGGTGGGGTACACCCTGGACAGGTCACAAGTCCATCACAGGGACGCATAGAGACAAATGAGACAAACAACCATAGGGACAATTTAGAGTTACCAATCAGCCTAACATGCATGTTTTTGGTCTGTGGGAGGAAACCGGAGTACCCGGAGAAAACCCACGCATGCACGGAGAGAACATGCAAACTCCACCCATGAAGGCCCCTGGACCGGGATTTGAACCGGCAACCTTCTCGCTGAGAGGCAGCAGCTCTATCCGTTGCGCCACCGTGCTGCCCACAGAACAACTACTGTTAATACAACTTTTTTAACTTTGACAGGCTTCTGGTTAAAGGTCCAAGCCAGAGGAAATCTATTCTAATTGTCACATTTAATTTAATTTATATTACATTGAAAGTAAATTTACCACAAGTCAGCAAGTAGACTTGATACCATTTAAAGCACAATAGAAATGTCAAAAGTATAGAAGTATGAGTGGTGTTAAACAAGCAGTGTCATTATTTGTATAGTAACTGTAATACCTTCATGGAAATCAAATTGTAACTCTCATCAAACAAACCTAATGAAATCTGTGTTCCCTCTTTACTTTGAAAGCTTCTGTCCTTGTGTGAAAGGCGGGGATAGCAAATCTGTGCAAAAGCATTAGACTACATGAAGCAACTGTGAGTTTTCAATCTAGAGTGGAGCACTCGGCTCAAGTGGAAGGTCAGTTTGGTTTTGTTTGTGCTCTCGTCCACTGCCGCAGCCATTTAGGACTAATGAGAATGGCTTTTTCTTTGAATCTGTGTTGGGGAGCTTTTATTCTTCTTCTTTCCAACAGTTAATCCAGGTGCTAGGTTATTAACACGGGTGAAATATTGAAGTGTCTGCTGTACAGGGAGCTGCAAAGTAAAACTGGGAATTGTAAAACCTAATTGGTAATATAAAATATCTATTAATAAATTTTAGGTTTGCACCACTTTATGGAAACAAATACATCAAACTCATTTTAGGAGTGAGCAGAAGCAAAAGCTGAGAAGGAACTGTACTGCTGTTATCTGAATCTTATGTGGAGAGCCAGTGTATAAATTATGGATTTTTATGGTCAGTGACTGGACTGGGGGAAGAAAAAAAATGCTGACAACAAAGTTGCACTTTGTTGTTTTTTTTGTTAAGGTTTTGGAATTTACTGTAGTAGTTGTAAGTGTATTTTCCTAACAGGTGGTTAATTTTCTTTGTTCCTGTTTAAAATCCAGATAAAATGTTATGATTATTGTATGACTAAATAAGCACAACTTGCACATATTACAATAATCTAAATGTTATTTGTTATGTCATTTTGTCCGAACATTATTTTTTTCCCATTAATCTGTTCAGTCTTCCTCCATGTTCCCATCTACTCCCACTCTAGCTCTCTGCCCCTCTAATTTTTCTTTCTCTGGCTCTCTCTGCAGGCTGCTGTTGGAACTGCTGGAGCTTTTGTTTGATAAGTTCAAGGCAGTGGCGCAGGCTCACAGTGTTGTGTTGACCCACATGCAGCAGATTGCATCGCAGGGTTCTGGTGGGACCCCTGAAGAGGACATCAAGCTCTACGAGCAGGCTGACGTTTCTGCTAAAATCCAGACTGTGCTGCAGGTTAGTTTGAGCTACTGTCAAAGAAACATTATAGTTATATGTACTGTCTGACTGTCACATAAACGCATAGTAATCTAATTAATAATTCCTTTGATTATTTGTATTATAATGCTTCATCTTAAAATAGGATCCTAACATATTTTGCACAAGTATTTTTTTTATTCTGCCCGACTATAAATCAAAGTTTTGGATTTCATAACTGCCATTAAAATCTGGAAGTTAAATGTTTTTTTTTAATTTTTTTAATGGATATTTTTTCTTAAAATTGATGCAGTTTTTGTTTTATTATAGTAGATGAACAATAGTGAAATTGGAGGTAATGTGATTGATAGCATTCCATTTGTTGACAAGAAAGACATGAGTTTTAACACGTGAAATTCACATGCATCAAAAATGTTCTGCACATTTTCCATGTGATTTTGAAACAGTTTTATCATGTTTGTGTGATCATGCGTGACCCCATGTTTTAACACATGAAAAACATGTTTAATGTGTTTTATCCACTTTTTTTTTTTTTGAAGAAAACTATTTTTTTGTCAAATGCAGCTATGCAAATTTACCCCCTACGACACATACGTCTGAACAATCAGTTTTTTTCTAATTGCACAACTTTGAACTTTGACAGTTAACATGCTGCCGTCTCTATACTGTGAGGTTTAGCTGTTTGTGTTTTGCAGTTTCTCTGTGTGTTACAACCTTGAATGGAAGTTGCTAGAATGTCCACCACTGAGAAGATTGACAGCCATTTTAAATATTTTCCTCTGTGAATAATCCCTCTAGATTCCCCACTGTTTGGAGACATTCCTATAACCCTTCTCAGATTAATGGGCAGCGATGTTTGCTTCTCTGAAATCCTTGTCACGGAGCAGCATAATGTTTTTTAGCATTAACACACCTGAACACTTCAGACCCACAAACTTGCCAGATCTTCTGCTTTCATATAGCCGCTCACACTTACTGTTGATTATTTAATCAATTGCACACATTACCAGCACCTAGATGCTTTTTGCATTTTTTATTTCTGTGGAAGCAGAAAAAGTAGTTTGTCACAGGTGACTCTGCTTTTTAACACAGTTTTTCCTAACTAAAGGAGGACATACAGTAGTGTAATATGGTGTGTTGTTCAACTGAGGTTTGATTATTCTAGTTTAAGATGTATTTATTTATTTATTGATTCATTCCAGTCCTGTCAAAAACCATTGCACTACACATGGTGTATCAACATCAACACCAATATGAATCTGTGCATCCATACATACATATACGGTATATTCCTACACATATACACATACATTTGAACACACAGAACCCCTTGCAGAACAAACCCACATCAGCAAATGCATCTGCTTTGACTGAACACACACCCAATGTGCACACACCTATTCACGTACACATACCCATGTACATGCTCACATACAAATCCCATTTAACATGTCTGAAAAGGGGTAGGAAGAAGTAAAACTTATTTAATCCTACCCCTTCTCCAATACTCCATAGTTACACCTTGTACCCATCTGGTTTTTCGAGTCTTATGATTCCATGAGAGGAAGAAAAGGAAAACAACAAATATATATATATATATATATATATATATATATATATATATATACACACACATTATGAAACAATGCAGAAAGTAATCCAACATTACTCCCATGATAAATTCTAGAGTTGTAAACCCACACCCAAAGTCATTCACGTCCAACTACACTCTCTCATAAACACATTTACACACCCACACACACAATTCCAACCACCTCACCAATACAACCTGACTTATCCCCATATATACACCCACACAGAATATACAACCACACTCATATGTACAATCCTATTTACAATGTTAGAGACACCCATTCAGGTTCACCTCAGATCATCATCCCTATACTTAAGATGCAAAAATCCAAAATATTTTAGTAAATATGCACTGAATAAACCTTAGAACTAAAACAGAAATTAGTTTATTTTTTACCATGACTGTATTTAGATACTAAGACAAAGAAGGCTTGATTGTGTGGATTAAATTTAAGATCTTTAATTGGCATGCATTTATGCATGGTTGTTGATCCCCCCACCACTCCCTGTTTGATTGGCTGAGGGAGATGAGCAGCTGTTAATTTGACCCTGCGGTGACTCTCAGAGGAAAATTTGTGACAGCTGTTGCTCTCATAGTGATTGGTGAGTGTGACTGAGTGTGTGTCTGTGTCCGTATGTGTTCATACCTAAAAATATGGTTTTTCGCAGTGATGCTCTTTTACTGCAAGTTCTTGATTTTTGAAACATTTCTTTTGGCACCATTTTGTAAAGGATAAAAAACTCGACTGAATGATGTTGAAGAAGAAAAAAGTGACTTTTATATATCTACTGATTCTGCATTTATTTTATTTACTAAACATAAAAAGGAAATCACATTACAGTATTGTTTAGGTGAATGAGTTGCAGGAGGAAACAAGCTTTCTTAGAGAGCTGACATGCACATCAATTGTTGTCATGGTAATTAATAGCACTGTGTTTTTACAAATCCTGAAAAGGGGGAACAAGTAGAAAATGTGTCTCCACAGTTGAACTCGGTAACTCATACTGGGCTTCAGATAACTTGAGCGTTTTCCAGCTGGCACACATAAATTCACAAATTCACTTGTGTTTTAGGCTATGTGTGTATTTTGAGGGTTTAGTCATGCATAGACATGTAGTGTAATTGCTCTGTTGTATTCATACTGTAGATGGCATGAAGCCATTCCCAGTATGTGACCACTGCCAATATGCAGTTGCCAGTGGCTTCACTCTCCCTCGGCTCTGCCATGTGAGATAATGTAATCTCTTGATTAGAATACTCATTATGTGAAATGAAGTTTTCTTACTCAGTCATTTGTGTTATTTTCTGTCCGATTATATCAATATGAAGGCCTACCCTCATCTATCCATTCCTCCCTTCTATTCCCATTCGTCCTGCTTGTTCATTTCTCTTTCTCGCCCACTTTGCGTTTCCATTTCCCCCTGCTCTTTCCTCCTTTAGCATCATTCCTGCTGCCTCTGTATCACAATCTCCCAATACCTTCCACATACCCCTCTTGGTCCTTGTAATTTCCTCCTTAATCTTATTATCTGGCTTTTCTTTCCCTCTCTCACAACTCCCACACTCATCTTCACTCCCTTCATTTATCCCACTCTGTTTTACAGAGTCACATATCTGCAATGAGAGAAATTAAATTCCTCCTGCTCCCACAGAAGCTCTGTTAGATTTTATTGGATACTGAGCCACTTCTTATCTCAAATCTTAGAACTAACGCTGGCCTGACTTTAGTAATGATATTTATGCTTACTCATTTTTCTTTGACTTTTTCTTTGCATATTTACTGTACAACTTTTAATAGAAGAAAATGGTAAGAAAACTTTTTAAAGGATTCCATCCTTTGACTTTTCACAGAGCATTTTTACCACTCACTGAATACTTCCCCCCCATTTGCAGCTAATTTATTTGAATCCCTGCATTGTTCATGCTTTATATTGCAGTTCACATATTTGACATCCACAGAAACCTTTTGATAAGTGTTTTTTTCCCCTACGCTCACTTTGAGAAGTGGAGAAACCAGCTTGACCTTTACACATGACATACCAGCAGACAGATGCACGAGCTGACAGAAACATAGGGTGCGCCCAGTTACAAGGCCTTGGCAGGGAATTGGCTTTCATCAATGTGCGACTGCGGCCCGGTAGGTTTAGAATGGAGAGTGGGTAAACAAGCTTTTGAAAGGCAGAATTTGTGTAGCAGTTTTAATCTCTGTTCAGAAATGCTCAAGATACCTTTGCTGCTTTTTCATTTCAGTGTGGAAGTATCGATTCAAACCATAAAATACTGGATGGTAATCAGAGGTATTGATGTTGGAAGGAGTGCTTTTAAGCCTCTTCAAACATTTTCAAGTTGCCCTCTGTTAAATATGTGTATGTCTATTGATTATTTACACCATCAATGGATTTACATATCCAAGCTTGCACCATCGCATTCCCTTACTACTCTGTTTATCCATGATTGCACATTTTTTTCTTGCTCCCCCTCCCAGGAATCGCACTTGCTTGCTGGGATGGGTTTTCCTCAATGTTTTTCATTTCTCTCCCCTCTCACAAATAATGTATGCAATCACTCAGTTAAGACAGTTGATCAAACTCACTTATTCTCAGTAAAATTATAAAAAAACAACAACTTTCAATTTATGTATGAAGTTGCAAGTTAACATAAGACTGTTCACAAAAGATCACAGTTCATAAACCTCTCTACACACACTCATAATTAAGATCACCCATTAGATGTTTTATAGTCTATATTTGGCATGTGGTGTCTGTAGCTGCTCATATCCATCACCTTTTCACCTTGTCTCCAGTTTGGTCTGAGGCCTGAAAGTTTACTAATTAGCTTGCCATTTGCGCATTCTACAAGGATTTGTGGCTATTTGACTGCCAGCCACGTATATTGTCTGCATGGAGGATGTGACCAGAGTGCAAATTGTACTTTTAATGAGTTGCTCTGTGTTTTCACATGAAGGAACTTTGAAAATGCATTTGAAAATATACATAGATGCTGATTATCTAGCATCTGAAAGAAGTGATTCTTGGATTATAGAGATGGTTCATTAACATTTCATCTTATATGAGATGTGAATATGACTAAAAAGAGATTTTTCTTTACATAACTTTAAAAAAAGGAAAGGAATCAAAACTCTTAAGATTGTTTATACAGGTAGTCTTCAGACTTTTAGCACTATCTTCTTGTGATTATATTTTAGTTTTAACAGGCTGTTTTGATCAAAGAGCTTTTATCTTAACCTAAATCTTTTTCATAAATTAATCACTTTATTGACTTAGAATAAGCAACACAAAAGGCAATGTCATGTTTGTGTCAACGACACATAAATATACAAGAGGCTTCAGTATTTTCTGGGCTCATCAACAGATCGCAAACGAAGCAAATTGATGTGCCAAAGAGAAGCCAGAAGACAATAAGC